TATATATATAATTTTTATACTTAATACACAGTTGCCAATAATTATTCACACGTGAAAAGTCTATGGCCGTACAAATATAAAGAAGAGTAAAGGAAGGAAGAAAGCTGCCCAACCCAACTTGCAAATCTATAATTATATTTTGGTACAAATATTTATGGACTAAAAAATAGACCATAAATTAAAAAATACAACAAATTAGAAAGATGACAAACTCCTCATTACAAAAAGCCTTCAACTTGCATTTATTTTAAGCCACAAGTTGGTGCTTTCAAGGACCAACTTGATTCCATTTTTTTTTTTTTTTAATTTTAGACTTTTACATTTATTATTACATACCTACCACACAATTCTTATGAATTTACACCACACAATTCTTATGAATTTACATATCCAGACACTTAAATTTAGATTTTTACATTTATAACATCAAAAATGTCACTTTTGTTAATATTTAAGAGGTTAAGGATATGTTTTCATATATAGGAAATGGGCATGCAAATAAATATTAAAATTTAAATGGCAGATGTGTAAATATATAGGAATTATGTGGTATGTATGTGAAAGTTCGTCTTTTTTTTATGAGATGAGACATGCTTTATAATTAAAGAAAAAAATATCGGAAGTTAGAACATAAAAATTGAATGGATTTTACTCTTTCAATGATTTAAGTCAAGCTTTTAGGTATTTACAGAGCTAACACTTATAGTGAGTTTGGGGCAGCTTGAGTGTTTCAGGATAAACAACTTATCCTGAAATGCGGTTTTTTACTTTTTCAATGATTTAGTCAAGCTTTTTGGTATTTACAGATCTAACACTTATGGTGCATTTGGGGCAGCCTGAGTGCTTTAGGATAAACAACTTATCCTGAAATGCAGCCCGCAGGGTTTGACCCGCGACCTGCGTTTAGTGTAAAAATGGAGCCGTGTTTTCGGATAAGTAGGTCAAAAGCGAGATCTAAACGGTACCGCGGTGTTTTTAAAAACGCCACCGCACCCCAAACTACTTTTTTGCATCTATACAATCCAAATATTTTATATCAATGCAAAAAAGTCTCTCCCTTTAGCATTGAAAAGTGAAGCAGGCCAATTGAGTGGTATTTATGTAAATCCTCATTTTTAAAAAAATTAGTGTAAAATAATTTTTTGCTGATTATTCATATATTTTGCACTCATCATTGGCAAATATAATAATTCTTAGATATTTTCTTTTTTACTCATGTACGAATACGCTTATATTTAAAAGGCTCATTCACATACATACCACCAATTTTATGTATTTACATATCTAACACCTAAACTTTACCTTTTACAGTCATATATTACATCTCAAATATCGCCGCTTCTACTTAAAAAAAGTGAAATATACCATTTGAAAAATAGGTAAGGTGGCATAAATGTAAATATGAAAATTTAGGTATTACACATAAATTCATAAGAATTGTGTGATATTTTTGTAAATCTTCATTTAAAAAATTCAAAATTTATCTCAATAGAGAAGAAGTGGTGAAAATAGACGAGAAATTATTCCATACGGACAGCGCATGTAGAGATACAAAACAGCGCATGTAGAGATGTATGCGCTGTCCGATCTCAGCCGTCGATTACCAACTTTTTAAGAGACCGTCTTCAGAAAAATTCGAGTTTGTTAGTTCACCTAAAACGCTAAAACCATTAAAAATTTCTCTAAATTAATCAGGAAAATCAACAACGCATTATATATATATATATATATATTACAGATATATCATACAATTCTTATGTATTTACATATCTAACACAAAAAAAGCGTACAATTACCAACTTTTTAAGAGTAAAAATACTATTTTTCTTGCATTGTTTTAAGATATGTGAGTAAGCCAGAAGTGTGTGGTTGTGGGCGTAAATTTCTCTGAAAATTAACATAAAATGTTGCCCCTAAAGGCATAATTACATAGATACCATCTAAAACATTGGTATTTACAAATTAAAAGCCCATGTAATGTTTTTTTCTTCTCAAACTGATGTTTTAAGGCTAGTTTGGGGCAGTTTATAAGTGCAGCGGTATTTTTAAAAACGCCGCATAATCGTTTGGTTTGTGCGTTTTTGAAAATACAGTCTATCGCATTCGGTTTTTTTATACTAAACGTAAGTCGCGGGCGTACCCCCGCGGTAGACCCGCAGACCGTGTTTCAAGATAAGTTGTTTATCTTGAAACACACAAATTGTCTCAAACAGACCATTAATCATACCGCATCCAACAATCAAATTACTTAGAATTTCATAAAAATGAAAAATATGAATTGGAATTTTAGCATGAATATTATAATCTGAGTGAGAATTTGAAAAAATGAACTATTAAACTGGGGGGCTTGATTTGTAAAAAGCAAATTTGGGGTGGCCTAGATGTAATTGCCCAATTTATTAAAAAAAAAATCTTTTACAATTCTGACAATTTTATCCTCTTATCCACTTCTCCTCATACAAATATTCTGCACGTATCCCCGCATAGAAAAACAATAAATACAAACATCAACTCGTAAAAGCATCTTTTATTTGCGCGAAAACTCATTAAATAAACAAACCCAGATAAATAAAAACACAAGAGACTTTTCACGGCGAACCCAAACCGCCACCATCTCCGCCTCCGCCGGCGCCGCGCTTTACGAGATTCTCAGTAGTTCGTGCGAGCGACCGGAGATTACACTTAACAATAGTATCAACGAAGACTCGGGTATCCTCACTGGTATTGCCCGGCGGCACGTCCACCACATAAGATTCCACCACCACAGTCCCAACGCCGGCGATCGCCGGAGCAGCGTGCAGCGTGGTCACCGACCGGTAGTTCACCAGCCGATGCTCCCCACCCACGACGCGAAAGCTGATCACGTGGCTCTCATCATCGAGAATCTCGAGGAGCTCGGTGCTGTTCGCCGCCGGCAAGCCGGAAACCAAGTGGACCTCCCGCAGAGTACCCACGTCGCCGTTACCGACAACCACCTGGCAGCTCTTGACGAAGTGTTTGTAAGCTTGCGGTTTATCGAACCGGCGGACGACGGACCAGACGGAGTGAACCGGAGCGGCGATGGATTGAACCGCGGTGGAGGAGCACTGGTTGGGGCCGACGGCGAGCTCGTGGTGGCGAGCGATGGAGTCCGGCATTAAGGGTTTTTCCGGGAGGACGCGGGTGGTGAGAGTTAGCCGATGGATCATAGGAAGGGGCAATCGGAGAGTAGGGTTAGGGTTAGGGTTTTTTTTTGTGGAAAGGTAAAGGGTTTGATATATAGAGAGGAAGAAAGGGGAAGGCTTTGGGGGGGGCCGATTGAGATGATATTTAATTTTCTTTTGCAAGTGGGGAGGGGGCTTCTCAACCGCCCAATGGGGTTAGAATATTGTTTGTGAACTAAATTTGTTGAAGGAAATATTACGTCCGGTTGTCTGTTTGGATAAATTGTATTTTGACAATTTTTAAAAAAAGTTGTAGTTGAAATCAGTTTTTCGCACCAGTCTTAGCTAGGTGTGCTTGCAGCTTTCAAGATGCGGTCTGTTTTTCTCAAAAAAAAAAAAAATTATAATAGTTATCGCAGTTTTTTGCAACATTAAATTATTTTTCAGCAGCTTCACAACTGTTTTTTAATAAGTTGCAGCTGCCCCAAATAGAATATAAATGTGTTGTCGGTGATATGAATCTCACTATGTTGTCAGACACATTCTGCAATTTTGGATCCAATTTTTATGTATTTCGCTTTTAGGACTTATCCTACATAATTTTTGTTTTTCACACTACAAATATTATTACTATAATTTTTAAAATGTGAAATACATCCTTTCATGATAAAAATTAAAGTTTAAGTATTTGACATGTAAATGCATAGGAATTGAGTGGTATGTATGTAAAAATTTATTTTATAAAGTTGGTATATGATATTTTTATTAGAGAGAAATGAAACGAAATTCTGCGATTCTAATTTATAGATAAATTTTAAAATAATAAATATGTTTTTTAATAAAAAAAAATTTAATTATTTGTTATTTTGTTATATATTTTATAATAAATATTTCAATTGGTATATAATTTAATTTAGTTTTAAGGTCATCCAAATTTGATCGTAATATTACTCTTTTATTATTTGATAAAAAATTTCGAAAGCTGTCATTTAAATTTAGAGATTAAATTTTGTACAAATTTAATTTAGGGAAAAAAAAATATTACATGTTTTGCATCAAGACTCCAATCACAATGTGCCACGCGTACGATCTTGCCCTACTGAATACAAAAAATTAAATAATTTAACACATGATGGGAACAGACCACACACGTGGCACATTGTGATTGAAGTCTTAATATAGTTTTGCTGGAGTCATGTAATATTTTCTCCCTTTGCAAACCTGCAACACTATTCTTGTCTCTTATCTAGCATCTAAACTTTCATATTTACTATCTTAACGCTCAAATTTTTATTTTTTTCGTAAAAAAATTATTACTATTATTAATTTTTAAAAAGTGAAATATATATTTTCATACGTAAATTATAGGGCTACACTAAATACATAGGAATTATGTGGTATGCATGTATATTTCCCTTAAAATTATTGTTTGGCACTAAATATTCTATAAAAAAACAAAATATAAAATATGTATAGGACTTTTTCCCATAAAAAGTTCCTATTATTATTACTCTTCATTGCATTGACTTCTCCTTCTTTATAAAATTTATATATATATATTATTGTTTATATATATATATATATATATATATATATATATATATATATGTAATAATGAGAAAGTTGGGCTACTTTTTGCACCAAAAGTATAATATGTCTGCTTTGTTCAAAAGCCCAAACAAATGATGCAATTGTCAATTGTCTTGGCTGCAAGTTGGAGTGTCAAGACTTTGATTTCTATGATATTATAACAATAAGGTCAGAAAGGTTAACCCTATTCAAATTTCACATATAATTTTTTATGGGCATTTACACACATGCCACAGATTTCTCATATATTTACATATTTAACACCTAAACATTCATATTTACGTGCACACCGGTCAAATTTTTAGCCTCGAATCAATGAATACTATCATCACTATAGTTTTAAAATTAAAATACATATTTTTATGCATAGATGTATTACACTGACTTGTTATAAGTGTAAATGTCAAATTTTGAGTGATATAAATTCATAAAAGTTTACGTGTATGCACGTAAATTTTCAATTTTTTTAGTTGTTAATACACTAATTTAGAATTATTTTGTTCAAATTGACACTTAGGAGATGCAAATAACAATTGGATCAAATTTGAGTTATTAGGAGTGTATTTAAATTGCTACCATGATGAGTAAAACGGTGATTAATGAGAGATGAGTATCATTCGATCCTTAGATTATGGCAAGCAATGTGTATATTAAAAATGTGTCAGCATGAATTTTAAAGACATCTTGCAGTTCCAGAGCAATCAACATCGATCCTCTTATTGAAGCTCCCCGGCTTAATGGCTGCCAAGCCTTGCAGCCACCCAGGCCAGTCCGACAAGTTGTTTGTAGGCCCCATATGTCATAATTATGTATAGAGTAAAATACTCCTGTTGTACTTATATATTTTAGGGGTAAAATATGTAATTGTACAACTCCCCATTTCAATAAATAGTGAATCCATTTCATGAATAAAGTTATGCAAATTTACAATTCAATGTTGTGTTATTGCTCTCTTTGCTCTCCCTCCCTCCCTCTCTCCCTTCAGTGTTCTAGTCCTTAGGCGTGCCTTCTTGACAGTTTTGGATTTAACACAACTTGATCATTTTCTTCACATCACTCAATAAGTGTGCAGCAGCAGGTGGGGGAGTAGATGCAGAAACAACATACATCATAAAAGATGGGGCAACATTGGGTGCGGGAGCAGGTGCCACAGGAGGGATGGCAACAGTTAGTGGGGGAGGAGGTGCCACTGAAGGTGTAGGGAAACAACATACATCATAAAAGATGGGGCACCATTGGGTGCGGGAGTAGGTGCCACAGGAGGGATGACAGCAGTTAGTGGGGGAGGAGGTGCCACTGAAGGTGTAGCAGCAGTCGATGGGAGAGGAGGAGCCACACAAGGTGTAGTAGTAGTGAAAGCAGCGGCATAAGTAGACAACCTCCTCTTACTGTTACGGTAAGTGGTCTCAAGGGTCACGAGAATGCGGGCTCGATGAGGTGGTTGACCATTTGTACCACCTGTGGCCATCTGCAAACAAATTAATGACAATAAAAAGATTAGTACTAGCAAAAAAAAATAATCATAAGCAGAAAAAAACTATACATTAAAGGTAAGACACAAGTAGCATCTATGTCTGAAAATAAGAAAAGTGAGAGCAAGAGCTATGCCTCAATACAACAAAATTAACAATTAATCTACATCACAACAACATTATTTCTAGCCATATCACAATTCAAAGTTCTTAAAAATATAAATATTGAAAAAGAAGCTACAGTCACAAATCTAAATTATCAAAAGTTCCTACACCCTAATCAATATAGAAATACATAAGAACTCCTAATCTTAATGCTCATCCTCCTGTCCTTATCCTCATCGATTATAACAGTCTCTGTTTGTTTGTCTCAACGATCTTCTATAATCTTCGTCAGACATTATATACTCTACTTAATTCTCTGTTGGCCTTCATGTAGATGGTGAACCTCCTTAGTCATAACAGTGACTTGGTTGGCAAGCTACGCAATACTCAGGTGTGACGAGCTTGTGCCACCCACAGAAGCACGAGAGATCTCGACCTTCTTCTTCCCCGCCGCCTGCGTCCATAACTCGCCCTTAAACTGCACAGCGATTGACTGACTACAACTACTACTGGCAATTTTCAGGCTCTAAGAGGTCAACCGTCTCTCCCAGAGCTGCTCATACTCCTCCGACATAATAAAAAATAATTATTAATTATCTAAATTATCAAAAGTTCCTACACCCAAATCAATATAGAAATACATAAGAACTCCTAATCATTCTGCTCATCCTCCTCTCCTTATCCTCATCGACTACAACAGTCTTTATTTGCTTGCCCCAACATTCTTCTATAATCTCTATCAGACGTGGTACACCCTACTTAATTATCTGTTGGCCTTCACGTAGATGGTGAACCTCCTTAGTCATAACAGTGACCTGGCTGGCAGGCTCCGCAGTACTCAGGTGTGACGAGCTCGTGCCACCCATAGAAGTACGAGAGATCTCGACCTTCTTCTTCCCCATCGCCTGCGTCCATAAACCACACTTAAACTGCACAGTGATTGGCTAGCTGCAACTACTGCTTGCAATTTTGGGGCTCTGAGAGGGCAACCACCTCTCCCAAAGCTGCTCACACTCCTCCGACATAATAAAAAATAATTATTAATTATCATTTTAAACATTAAGAGTCATAATAAATATGGAATAATCAATTTCTTACTTGCATTCACCCGCTGAGATGATTGATCACCAACACCACTCGTGGCCATCTGTAGTAGGACTAATAACATAAATAATCAGGAGCAGCACACAAAAGTAAAAGAAGAAATGCACAAAATCTAAACAGAAAACATATCATAGCTATGTCTAAAATAAAAATAAAAAAACCTAACACCTAAACTTCAATTTATACCTACATACAATCTTACCTATGCATATAACTTAGAATATTATGACACAAATATTATGTATGTACAAACCTAAGACCTAAATGGCAATATTTACATGCATTCCATTGAACTCTTATGTATATTCATACCTAGCTAACACCAAAACTCCATTTTTTGTCTCCATACCACCTTACTAAAAGTTAAGATCTTTTCTCTATTGCTAGACTCTTTAAACAAGCTTACTCTAAAATATCATTGGGGGGTTGCTTTTGTAGGTAGTCCCATTAAATGGGGACTTTCATATACTTGGAGAGTGCTTTTGTAGGCCTACATAATAAAAAATTTGATGTGACTTAAGTTTAAAGGCATGCTTTTTTTTATTAGTAATTAGTAATTGACATCAATAATTTTTGGACTCTTGCGACTTCTTTTAGTAACTTCATAATGTAACTAGTACAGTTAACTATCTTATCTCAGGTTAAGTTTATTAATTGTAGAACGAAAATTTACCACTTATAACAACATATACAATAGAAGTTCCAATTTCTCACCATTTTATCCTTCTCTAACAATTTATCTCACCAAAAGATTGTCTAGAAGTGGATAAATATATATAATCCTAAAGTCTTAAGCAAAAGCTAAAATCTACATTACTCTAAACATAATCTTATGCATATACATTCCTAACACCTAAACTTCAAATGTTACATACATGTCAAATTTTAAAAAAGGAAAAAAAATGACCGATGTTACCTTTTCTGTTCGGCTAGCATCGCGATGGATTTCGGTGGTCGGAGGGAGGACCAGTGACTGGCGACGAAGAGGTGCGTCGACCAGCGACAGCAAGAGGGAGGAGAGGGTTTCGGTTTCACGTGAGGAAGGAGAGGAGATGGGCGTAAAGAAGAAAATGAATTGGAAGGCGCGTGATGAGTTTTTTAAGTCAATTGCGTCGGCTTTATCGTCAACTTTGGATCGGATTTTTTTCGAATCTTTTGAGTGAAGTTTTTGCGTCGATTTATTTGACTCAAATACGACGCAAAAAAGTGTGGCAACTCCACCGTTAATTTCGTCTTTTTTCTGTAGAATTTTCATACGTAAATACCAAAGCTAATAGAATAAATTTACTTTCGCCGCAAATCAGTCACAACATCCGACACAAATTTTCCACGCTAATTCAAAGCTCTCATGCAGTACATCAATGATAATCATTGTCTTACACCCTGTAAATAAAATCCTCACCAACCTAAAAACTCTATAAAATATGAAAATAAACTCTATTTATAAACTTTTTGAGGAGATTTTTCTATCCTTTTTAATCCTTAAAAAAAAAAATTCTCATAGAGATGGTGATGAATGGTGGAAATATAATATAATGGAAATGGTTTGAGGATGGGCTATAAAATGAATTCATAGCAAACAAGCTTGCCATGATCATACAAGTTGAAGTCTTCCATGAATGACCTTCAACCACCAAAGTAGATGAAGGCACCTCTCATTACCACATGACAATAAAAGAATTTTATGCAAAGAAAAAAATAAAGGGTATTTACATAAATACCACCAAATTTCTATCTATTTTACATATCTAACACCTAAACTTTACCTTTATACATTTATACCACCGAAATCTTTCATATCACATACAATTTTTAATAGGTTGTAAGGTGGCATTATGTTAAAATTGAAAGTTAGGTGTTAGATGTGCAAATACATAGAAATTAAGTGGTATGTATGTAAATCTTCTTAAAAATAATTAATGTATTCATATATTATTCATTAAACATAATTGAAGATAATCAAATTTTCATGGAGGCCCACCAGCATCAAGTGGAGAGAGAATGATCCAAATTGGATATTTAAATAAATAAAATTTATATTCTATTCATTTAAAAGTATATTTAAAGCCATATGTACATTGTAAACAATATTACATTGTTATATATATATATATATATATATATATAACAAAAGCTATTATACGAGTTTTCAATCTTCTCTAATGTGTCTAAATTCGAGTACTACCTTTTTAAGGCCAACTGTGTTAGAGGGGATTCGAACCTCCGACCTAAAGAGTCATATATTGTGGATGTCAACCAACAAGCGAGTTATGCGGCGCACGCGCGCGCGCACACACACACAGATATATTAATGCCAACATGAATTTTAAAGAAACAGTCATCCAAACATATCATTACAAATAAAATTTGTGGATCCCTGCATTATATTTTCTACTAGTTTTGAATAAGGTTTGGCATCTTTTTTATATGATTAAACAAAGTTTCATGATAGACTTGCATAAAATAGTTCAAGAGATAGAAGCTAATTGATGGGATTTTTCGTCCTAGGGGTTGGTTGATTATGAAGCTTATCTAACTACTATAATTTCTCAGCAGTCATAATAGACACCCCACTAATTTTCACCGCAAAACAACCCTCAACAACTAAAAAATTATTACGTGCGGAATTCGTACGCATGCAGACTTCGTGTATAACAGTATCATACAATGTTGTACATATATTATACAACAATATACAATAAGATAGTAATGACTATAAATGTCGAAAAACACAACAAAAAAACACCCCTCTTGTTTTGAAGCCCACAAGTTTGCAAACTTGAGAACTTATGAAACAAATCCTAAAAGTCTGGCAAAAATATGGTAAAACATGTGCTTTTTTGCAGGGGGGTGAAATGCAAAAGCAATTCAGATGCCAATCTTATCCTTCAGTTTTTCCATCATCCTATCTTTTTCACAAAAGCTCTTACAGTCTAAAAGCATAATTATGTATGCCAAGAATAGTAAATGCTTCCCAGGGTTGTAAAAAAATGTCATTGTTTATGGAAAAAGTCTTGTTATATTTGTTAAATAGTTTGTGTCCATTGTTTATGAAAAAGTCTTGTTATATTTGTTAAATAGTTTGTGTTCGAATCAATCGATAAGTAAACGAATTGAGCACCAACAAATTTTTTAAGCTTGAAGGACCCGAACATGAACTACCCTTTGTTCGATCGTATTCGATATTATATATGCCATATGCAGTGAACTGTTGGTAGAGCAGCCTCTTTGAAAGTCGTAAGTCTCCTCAAGTCATGGGTTCAAATACCCCTCTGGCCAATTTGCCGGTAATGAGGGCGGTCCTAGAATAGTTAGACACACGAGTGTGATTGGGGGCTCGTTTAATAGCCTCCGACCATTCTTTCTAATATATATATATATGTGTGTGTTTTGCTCTTTCAGTACACAAAAGTGGTGCAGGTTCGAATCTAGCATCGTAAATCTATTTTTTTAATCAATTTAAATGAGATAATTTTGAGTCAAATACGAACAAAAATATGTAAATTGAGCCGAACATGAGCACACAGATCAAAAGCAATTTCAAACACGAGCCAATTTCGAATGAGCCAAACACAAACCAAACCTAAACTCGCTCAGACTCAACTCATTTACCGGCCTATTTGCAGCTGGTACCATTTCCTCTGAAGAAGCATTTGTAAGAGTATTAAAGTAACCACACCGGTGTTCCAGGAAGTATTGCACATCAGGAACACACTTTTTAACAGACCTCCCAAACTTTGCTTATTACATTTATACCGCCCAAATATTTCATATCATATCTAAGGATAAATTTCTCGACTATTACATCTGCACAGTAAAGTATACAACAAAGATTACTTTTTACGAATAAATACAGCAAAATATTCCAATTTACATTTTTTTTAATAGAAACTTAAATAGGGAAGCTTTCTACTGGTATATATTTGCATGAATTCCCCTATTAATGGCAACTGTTGCAATTATACCAAAGTGGAGACAGATAATCTAATAAATTTAAGGAGGATTTACATCCATAACACTCATTTTTTATGTATTTACATATGTAACAACTAAACCTCAATCATAGAATTTAAGTGATTTACACATATAACACCGAGTTCTTATGTATTTGCATATCTAGCCTAAACAAAATCAAAATTTACTAGAAAACCAAGATAGCAAGTCCTCATCTTTTGTTTATCTTTCCCACTTGATAAAAACTAATTCATACTTCAGGTGGAAGACATTAGGCAGTTGGAGGAAAACCCAACCCGTCAATTTGGTTTACAGTAGTGTGATTGAAGTGTCATTTTAACTTTGTTTATATAGAAGCAATCTCAGGGTCTGTTTGGGACAGTTACAGCCGTTAGAAGAAATAGCTGATGCAAAAGAAATTATTGTTCATAAAACTGTAAGGATTATTACAAGTTTATTTTATTTTCAAATGGTCAGATCGCAATTTTTCTAGTAGTCAGTGCACTTAGTCATATCAGGTTAAAAAAATATCAGTGTCACTTTTTGAAAAAAAAATAAATAAAATGTAATTTTGTTAAAAAATATAGTTTTTCTCAGCGTGACACCGCACCACTGCCGCAATGCTGCCTCTTACAAAGTCTTAAAAGATTGATGCTCCCTCAAACAAATCTATTTTATCTTTCAGTCGGCATGACTCTGGCGGGAAACCGCACCGCCACAGCAACACTGCCTGAAAGTGCTCCTTATATTTATTTAGTTAACAATCTTGTGTATTAGCATGCATCTAATCATATTTACTAAATCTACAATAGATTTTTTCCTAGCTTCTTAAATATATGAGTTGAAGAAGGATTTCAACATATTGTTCGTATTGATATGATTTAAAACTTCATGCAAACATTGAGGGTCCGTTTGGGGCAACTTATAAGTGTGGGCGGCCTAACTTCATGCAAACATTGAGGGCCCGTTTGGGGTAACTTATAAGTGCGGGCGGCGTTTTCAAAATGTCGCAGTACCGTTTGGTTCGCGCATTTCGCCAGCTTATTCGGAACCACGTTTGTGTTTTTACACTAAACGCATGCCGCGGGTCGAGGCCCACGGCCCGCCCGCGGGCCACATTTCAGGTCCTGAAACGCAGAAGCCGCCTCAAACGCACCTTAATATTTCACTCATTTGTGCGAAATATTGAGCATTTATGCATGAAGCTGTGGATTAGTTTAAAAACTATTGCGTCAAGTCGCTCTTTTTTCCTTAAAAATTATGATATTTTTTAATATGACTCCATAAATAATACATGCAAACTCTATATTTTGAAAACTTTATTCTAACCATTTTTAACTCAAGATATTAACGTTTAAGTATTTAATAAATATGAATTTAAAAGTCATATTTTTATCTATTACATTGAGAAATTTGAATACATGCCACCCAATTTTTATGTATTAACATATTAATCATCTAAACTTTAATTTTATATTTATATCACATGAATCATTAATATCACAAAAGAAATAAAATTATTTCAATATTTAAAAAAAATACATATTTTTTGTATTTTTCATACATTGGTAATAGTCAATGTTGACAAGGGTGTCAACGAGCCGAACTCGAGCGAGCCAGAGCTCGACTCATGTCTGGATAGTTAAAAAATACCAGTCTTTGTGTTCAGCTGATTTATGGTTCGAAAAAAAAAAATTGTGTTTGTGTTCGACTCGTTTACTTAGCGAGTCAAACACGAGTTGTTCGCGAAGAAAGAGTTATTCTCACTTGGATAGTTAAAAAATACCAGTGTTTGTGTTCAGCTGATTTATGGTTCGAACAAAAAAAAAATTGTGTTTGTGTTTGACTCGTTTACTTAGCGAGCCGAACACGAGTTGTTCGCGAAGAAAGAGTTATTCTCACAATCCTAATCACTCAATCATATGATATTAAGGGTCGTGACAAGATTTAAATCTTATTATTTATATTAAAAAATTATTTAAATATAATTCAATATATTTTTATTCTATATTAACTACTCATCAATTATATATACATTAACACACACACACACACACACACACACACACACACACACACAAACACACACACACACACACACACACTCTTCGGCTGATTCATATATGGAACACAAAAAAAAATGTTCTTGTTCCGTTTGATAACTTAGCTAATTAATCGAATATGAGCTTCTTAACGAGTAAAACATGACCTGTTCTGAAAAAAGAAGTATTTTGACAATCCTAAATATTGCAATTAGTTTTGACATATATAAATACATAAGTATTAAGTGGCATTTATGTAAATCTTCTTCAACTTTTTATTTTATTTTATTTTTTTTTATATCTTGAATCTGCTAGTTCTCATCCTTGGATCCATTCCGTTTTCTGAAGGGACTTCATCTGCGGAAAACGAGCAAAGATCAGCGCTCTCCTCTTCGCTGCACTCCAGCTCTACCATTACCCCATCGCTCCGATTACTCGCAGCCTCCTCCGCCTCCGATCTACACTACAGCAATGATGGGGCCGGAGACCACCTCCGGCTCCGATTCCTCGCTCTCTGCCGATGTCAGGGCTTCCCTTCCCCTCTCACCTTCTTTATCGTCCCCCTCTATCTACCGCAGCGCCGTTAGTGGCGATCTATTCCTTACTCCATCTTCCTCATCTTTCTCTTCTCCATCCTCCTTCGTCGACCCCCCTTCATACGCGGATGTGGTTTTCCGGCCGGTCGAGCCACAGAATGGCGGAGATTCTACTTCGAGAAACGAGACGGTTTCTGCAAGATCCGGCCGCGCCTCCACCTCTGATTATTTGGAGATCACTGTCACTGACCCCCAGAAGGAGAGCGATTCAGCGACCTCACTTGTTCCTGGTGGCGGCGCCTACATAACGTATCTCATAACCACACGCGTACGCGGGGCTGCAGCCCCATACGTCGTACGACGCCGATTCCGCGACGTGGTCACGCTGGGTGATCGTCTGGCCGAATCCTACCGCGGCTTCTTCATCCCCATCCGCCCCGATAAGAACGTGGTTGAGAGTCAGGTGATGCAGAGGCAAGATTTTGTGGAACAGCGGAGGGATGCTTTGGAGAAGTACTTTCAGCGCCTTGCGGCGCATCCGGTCGTTGGGCGCAGTGAGGAGCTTAGGGTTTTTCTCCAAGCGCAGGGGAAGCTGCCATTAACGCCAACGACGGACATGGCTTCGAGGGTGCTTGACGGGGCGGTGCGACTCCCGGGGCAGTTATTTGGGGATGGAGTGCGCGGGAGCGGGGCACCACAGGAGGTGGTGCAGCCGGCGAGGGGTGGAAGGGATTTGTTGAGGATGTTCAAAGAGTTGAAGCAGTCCATGACGAACGATTGGGTAGGGACGAAACCATTGCTGGTGGAAGAAGACAAAGAGCTTTTGGAGAGAGAAGGAAATATTCAGGAACTCGCCCTGCAGCTCAATGCTACCTCAGAACAGGTATTCTGATTTGAGAACACGTTTAAATCTTATTGGTAAGCTCTGTAATGCTTTGCTGAATGAGTTCTAGAAGATATGAAGTTGATGGTATAACATATTTGTTCTCAGTAACTCTGTTTCTTCTGTCACATCATTCTTATTTGTAGGGAACCTATGACTAAATGCCCATTGAGGGTACTTTTTGTTGCTGTGATTAATTTGGAAATCTCTCAACAGTCTTGCCAACCTTGATTTTTGTTAAGAACTTCTCACAGCAACATGCGATTTTAAAAGAAACTAATGCATACGGTCAACTATATAAATGATGAAGATATGGTCTAATGTTATCAATAACTTTGTTTCTTCTTTCAGAGCTGTCTAATAATCTTGTTTCCTGAGAAGTTATCATAGAATGCTTAATCATGGGATTACTTGTGTTCTATCTGTTTCCATTTCATGTACTTTTACTTGTGACATTTAATATCTTTCCTCATTCATTCTAGACTTTTTTTTTTTTTGTGCGGGTGTATTGGGGTTAGTTGTTTTTTTTTATGATAGAGTTTCTTATTATTCTTATTTGTAGGGAACCTATGATTAAATGCTCATTGAGAAATCTTAAACGAATGAGGAATTTATAATATATTAGTTCATTAGATAATTTAGCTTACAAGATCATTGATTTGCCAAAACATACCTTTAACGACTTTCTCGACGACCAATCCTTCCCCAAAGCTGCCAAATTTATTTTCTATCACGCTCAACCACACTTCTCTTGCGTTGATATCAGGCTAGAATTCATTTGGAAGCTCTCAAAGGTCGACGCTTCCGACACAAAATCGGCTTCTCCGACGGCTACCAGAAAGGAAGGCATGGAAAATAAGTCAAAACTTAAAATGAAGAAGAAAATGAATATCTCAAATAACGTAAAATAATGATTCACACTCACAGAAATTGTCCCATATTCACACTTACAAAAATTGTACTGGAGCCCTAAATTGCATCTAGCGGCTTCCTCTGTGCCACTCGCTTCCCTGCTAGTTTGTGGCCCTTGCACTGCAACAAGGGTCACAGCTCCCTACTGCTTCTACCACACGGAAAGGACAAGGAAAGAGAATCACATGATAGAAGCGAGGTAGAGGATAGGAGAGATGTGCGACGAAATTGAGGAGTGAGGGTTCGTAAGCTAAGGAATTTGGATTTCCCTCATTCAACGCCATCCGAAGTTATAACACATGGGGTAATGTTGGTGGGAACAATAACCATGCAAGATTAATAATTTAATTATATTTAATTAGATTAATTAAACTTATAACTTCAACTTTTTATTTGTCTCGATCTATTCATAATTAACATATGATGCTTTATATGAAATTGATCAATTTTTCGTGTAGAATTTTATAAAATTGTTTCGATTGATATCCGAGAGTTGCGAAAATAGAGGTACAATTTAAGTTGCCAAAAATTTTCTCTGATTTCTAAAAAAATGGTTATTACATATTATTGGTTTCTTTTGATCCAAAATAGCATTAAAGTAAAAGTTTTACTTTTTTTTGAATGGTCGTAGGCTATGGTATGATCCTCCTGCCACCGTCACATGCCTAATCACTCGATCCCGCACTGCAAGACAGATACACTCAAACGGGATCGAACCCGTGAACCCAAGGGACTTACGCTGGGCCGCACTACCAAAGAGTTACGACAAGCAACACAAATTAAAAGTTTTACTTGGATTGTTACTAGTTTGATACTTTGATATTTTATTCAGTTTAACATTTGGTTTAAATTAAATTAAGGAGCATTCCAAATGCTTCACCCTTTTCATTCCCTGGAAACCTAATGCTGCCAAATCTGCCACATCTGTTTAATCTGTTGGCTTGGTGTATGCGCTTTTGAAAAGCTAAGTGTTTGGGCACCCCCAACCTTTCCCCACTTCCAGTTCATTTGTTCCGTTCAAATGATGTTTGATTCTCTGTTCTTTGCTTAAATGTTTTTCTTTGTGCTAATATTTATTGTTAGCATGAAGGCATATAAAGAGGGTTGGGGGGGGGGGGGGGGGGGGGGGTCGGGGGCGCCACCCCCCCTGAACTTCTTTCAAAATTCCACCCTACTAAATACACCCTCACAACCAAATACTTGGAAGTTAATGATTTAACATTTAACTATACAATATGAATACACACAAGTATATTGTTGTAGGAGATAAGAAATAAAAAATGTGTGCATGCATCTCAATTACAATATAAATGGCATTACACTCGAAGATATTAGCACTCACTTGTAATCACTTAAATCGACCATAGTGTGTGATACCCAACCTCCACCCCACCAACTGGTGCAATGTGATTCAGAATAAATGATTAAGCTAATGAATGACTAATTAAAATTATATGCTTAATATTAATGATTAGTTCAACTACACAAGCTAAAAAGATTACTTCACTAAACACCAAAGTTACCAAACACAAATCTGAAGGCACAAGTTATGGTGATTACAGTAATTTAAGTTGCAGGTAAAAGATTTGACTTTTGATCAAATTTGCATGATAGAGTTTCGTTTAATGGGGGTTGCTTAATTTGATGCAAAATAGGATCAAAGTGAAAAATTTACCATGAATTTAACTAGTCTAGTTTTTTGCTGTGTAAAGTTTAGTTTAAATAAAATTGAGGAGCAATCTGAATTCGTCACCTTCATTTCCATGTGAAAAAAATGCCCTGCCAAATTAGCTACATTTGCTTAATTTGTAGGCTTTGCAAATAAGCTTATGAGAAACCATCTTTCTTTAAAAAGATGTTTGAGACTCTGTTCTTTGCTTGA